AGTTTTCGGCAATTTACTTCAGGAGCTAGGTCAAGGTTACTGTCACCGATGCAAGCTCAGCCACCCTTGTCAGTGTTAAACTTCAGACGGGATTCAGCACACCATGTTGCGATACTGCTCCGTTTAAGATGTATTTGACTTACCATATCTTCTAACTTATGACTAGCATACTGGAGTGATCCACCTGAGGTGAACCAGTTGTAAATGCTGTTAATATAGATTATAGATAGAAGTGGTCCCATGGCGCTAACCTGCAAAACCCCGCATATGATCTGCCTAGAATGAGAAAATGCGAATCCGACCTTGGCTATTTATACACTGTTGCTTATAAATGACAACTCCTGTCGGAACAACTAAAATTCAAAAACCTTCCTCACGAGAAGTAAATATCCACAAGCAGTAAAAATCCATTAATTAATGCGTCTAAAGCTTATGTATTTTACTCCCAACAATGACATTGCACATCAAATGAGATAAACATATCACTGATTTCAAAATAACACAACAATGAACTATAATTCAAGGATTCTGCACACCACAAAGTAATGCATGAAAATTGACTTCAAGCTTTATTTTTTTCCCAGGCACTTATAACCCACCCACCAAAGACCTGGTTTTTTTTGTTAATGCGAAGACAATACTTCTGTATTTCCTGATGTGTTGCACTCACTGAAAATCTAGCGGATTTTTCCAACTATGCACAGAAATGATTGTACATAAGTGAAAAGGATGTTTTATACTATTCGGATTAACATTTATCAAGTGTACGTATTATCTCCAGTGTACATGTTAAACATATTTTGCTATCGACTGTAAATTGTGACTGAATAATATGATCCTATTTCTGTAACAATTTGATGATGCCTGTAAACTGGCGTCCCTCATGTACTGTACCATGAGAATCAATCCATCTATTTACTTATTTCAATGAAATAAACATTTCTCTGATTTCAAAATAACACATCAATGAACTATAAATCAAGGATTCTGTACACAAGAAAATTATGTATGAAAACTGACTTCAAGCTTTATTTTTTTCCCAGGCACTTATAACCCATCCACCAAAGACCTGGTTTTTTTGTTAATGCGAAGACAATACTTCTGTATTTCCTGATGTGTTGCACTCACTGAAAATCTAGCGGATTTTTCCAACTATGCACAGAAATGATTGTACATAAGTGAAAAGGATGTTTTATACTATTCGGATTAACATTTATCAAGTGTACGTATAATCTCCAGTGTACATGTTAAACATATTTTGCTATCGACTGTAAATTGTGACTGAATAATATGATCCTATTTCTGTAACAATTTGATGATGCCTGTAAACTGGCGTCCCTCATGTACTGTATCATGAGAATAAATTTATTTATTTATTTATTTATTTAATAAGTTAACTCATCGATTGCGATTTTCACAAGAGTAAAATTTCTCGAAACGTATACTGTGAGATATTATGTCTAATGCATTCTATGTATCGAAATAAACAATAATAACAAGTTTATGTGATTCGTGACTACTACTTATGCAGTTGAAAAAGCCTAGGTGGCAAGTATCGTTGGACCTTTTTCTGAGAAACCCACGTTGAGACCTTGTGACGAGATCTTTCCTAAGTAGATAGTCTAATAACTGATCGTTAACAGCTTTCCCCAGGATTCGCGAGATAACTGGGGATGTATTTATAGGTCTGTAATTGCGAACGTTTGCATTATCACCAGGTTTATAGTGTTGCATTAAAAGGCCAGTTTTCCATTCCTGTGACAAGGTGAACTTCTGAGCCCATCATGAATGTGCTAGCCACTGTTCGAGCACAGTATTCGAAGGAAATCAAACGTGACAATTTGGGTAGTTATTATCCATTAAGAAACCACCATGGAACTGGCGTAACGAATACGAGACCTACAGACATGTCAATTCCTAACATGAAGATAGATATGGCGTAAAGTTGCTATTTCGACGTCCAAAAGTAAGTAGGTGTGCGTTCATCACTCATGTTGTTGATTCTAGCATATCCATCTTCTGTGTGCATGAAACCGAATCTCAACAGACTTTTAAATCGAGGCCGTAATATAGGGATGACGAATGCTGTTGGGATTGTGTAAGCTGCAGAGATTGGACCGAGAATGGTCTGCAAAGTGAATATAGAAGGCCAACTATTCACAGGGAAATTGATCTGGGGCCATTGCCTATTGTGTAGTACAGGATAAACGAAATATGCAGCAACTGATAATGGTCGAGAATGGGAACTTCAGCGGGGACGGTACTGGATGGAATAGGTTTCTGCAAGTAGTCAAAAAAGCGTCTTTGCTGCGAATTGTTGGTATCAGATGGTTGGAGGCAATCAGTAAGGTGCCATGGACCTAGGTTTCACGCTAGTCGGCATTCATCAGCAAGGCGTATTTGTAACCACGATGGATTTCATGTCCCTTCCGAGACTCGGATCCGCGTCACCCAGTGCCGCAGTCAGGGACGTTACCGCTGAGCTTCGTGCCAACTTGCATGAAATCTAGTTCCGAGGGTTCCTGCCTATCGCCTCCAACCATCTAATACCAACAATTTACAGTACGCCGTGATGGCGAGCCACCTAGCATAGTGGCTACATCGCAACCTTAACTGATAGAGTTCAGTCTGCACCGAAGATAGAACTAGACATATTACACGAATTAGTGACCAAAGTCCAATCAAAAGAGTGCCTTAACCTTTCCATGCAGATATGCTACACATATTTGGCATCTTCGCATAGTGAAGATTTACTGTAACAGTCAGCCACTTAATTTAACAGCCAGAGATGGGTCAAAGTCTGAAATCGCCGGGCTAAAACAAATGTATTCGGTGGAAAATCGAAAATCTATCTCCAGAATAAAGGTTAGTCCGGCTAACGCCCTTAGACAAACCATCTCGGATAGGATTTTGAAGTAGAGCCTCTACAACACAAAACGCCTTAATAACCAATAGGCGGATAATGATCAAGAAATTCAGTAGGACAAGATGAATAAGCAAGTAAGAATTAGTCTCCTTACTTATTTTGGAAGGTCTCCTTCCCTTGTGAATGACGTTGAGTGATGAATGCCCTTCTGTGTTTCCAACCAGGTTCCCTTCTACACTTGCCCACCACCGTGTTTCTGAAATATACAGCTGCAAAGCTTCGCGTGGCTTGGTGCCGGCTTATCTGATCAAAAGCGACGCCTGGCCAAAATGTAACTTAATGTAACGCGTGCTGAAAGAATAAATTTTTATTTCGTAGTTCCTTCAGAAATATTCCAGGAGTCAGAGGTCCAGCCCATTCAACGTGCTCATCGGTTACTGTGGTTTTAACGTTAGTGTCCGCACTGGTAATCACCGATTTTGGGAGACCTTCTGCCACCGTATGGGGAGGTTCGTTGTCTAGACTATTCGATTTATTCAGTAGATACTTACGCTACCTGAGATATAACCCCCTTGAATCACAAAATGTTTTAGTTTCCTTTGAAAAGTTTTCCCCATGGTGGACTGAGGAATGACTGTGTTTTGTCGCTTCCCACTCATGTATGGAAACAAGAATCCAGGTCTTCATTTATACCGCACTTGACCACTCTAGCGAAGACGTAGGCCTTAATTTAGCTGCATGTAGTTGATTTGTCAGCGTGAGTTTGTTACCACCATCAGCAGAACTAACAAACTTGCTAAGTATTCTCAGGATGGTTCCTGTTACCATTTCTGCGGTTGAACACTGAGCACCAGTTTCGGTCAATTTTTGGACAGCAAGCGCCACCACAAGCAATAACCTTGTCTAGTGAGACGTCTGTGTAGCCTTCATTTGCATAAGGAAGCGTCCTTTCACCCGACCGATCTGAGGGTAGCATTTTGTGACACAGCTTCTAAGAGACTGTAGAAACTTCTACAAGCTGATGAAAAGCCCTGACTCGAATTTGACTGGACTGTATGGCACACTAAGCTTATTCATCCATTGCTGAGGAAGTTCCTGTGCCGTAGTAGTAGTGCGGCTATATGGAACTTTGTGAACCTCGCAATACATGTGAACCAGTAATGAATCCTTTCGAGTATGACAAGGGATCCACCAAATCCACATAAACATGTGCGAGATAAGTATCTGGCTGCGAGAAATAATGCATCCATTTACATTCTCCCTCTGGCATGATATACAACCTCCAGCTCAGTTTTTTCAGCATATTCTAGATTTGGCCAAATTTACATTTCAGAGAAAATTTTAGATGAACTTTCGTTCCGGGGTGAGCTGAAGGATAGAAAACACCACATATAGCTTTTCTCACCATTTTAGTGCCAAACAGCTTAGACGAATCTTTCAGTTTATTGCAGTATTTGAAGAGGCCGTCTACAAAAATAGTAGCTGTTTGAGCCTGAGACTAGGGGAAATTTTACCGATGATATGCCCTAACTATTGGTCACTCCTGATTCTTTATCAGCACTTTGAAGTCCATGACGATTTTCGTGAATTGTATTCATGTGTAATTTGTACAGTTCGCATATCTCCCTTCCATCTGAATGTATTATGTCACTAACAGATTGCGGATAAAGTCAGGCTGACCGATTTTGCGTGGTGAGCGTTTGTATCCGCTTTTTAATAATATATTTATTCTTGTCTATGTAGGTGTCAATCTAGTTGAATATTGAACTGTCAGTTCACGGTTGTTTGCTCAAACCCAACTTCTCCATAATTTTCGCGGGAGTCATCAATACGGTAGTCACCGTCTCAACGTTCGCTGTTTTTTGGTAGACAGAAAACTATCGGAAGTAATATCGTGATTTATTGTTATAACATTTGTTTTTAGACCTTGCGTATAATAACCTTATTGTTGATTACATATTGGCCTCAAGAATAAAGGATTCTCGAGTCACCAATCTGTGTTCTGGTTTTTCGCGCTGGTTATTATAAATTGTTTATGAAAGTCTCCCAGGGGCAGCGTGAGGTCCAGCGTAGTAAGAGCTAAACATTGATAGTTTCTGAGATTTGGCTGACAGTGGGACATAAAGTGGGACATAAGCGCGCGATTCTGATCGGACGTTACAATCTCTCCCCATAACGTGGATATATTTTTGTCGATTTCTGGAATATTGTAGTGGATATTATACCACTGCTCAACTATAACTTATATTGGCTGCTACTCTAGCTTCCAATTCTGCAGATATATCACCGCCAGTTATCAAGTTTGGATCCACTCTTTCGCAGGGCTCATCCTCCTTATTGTAACTTTAGAACAACGTCACAGAAAAGAAAACTGTAGAGAAGTTCATCATTTTTTGGTTTACATACCAGGATCAATTTACAGGATAATTGGTTTCTATATACTCTGTATCTTACTTTTTAGTACTTTGTAAATTTATTGTTTATTTATAAGCAATAAAATTCCATACGGTATCCATAGTAGTACTTAATCTGTATATCCACTCGATATACTATTTTTCCATATACCCGTTTTCGATTTAGCTCGGCTTTAACTTTAAACCATATTGATTAGTTTTCAGCAATGGCACAACGTAATAAACGAGTACTTTCCATACGTAAGAATAGTTTGGGTCACTCAGCTAAGAAGATACGTACATCACTGTGCGTTCCGCGTAGCCTCAACAATGTCCCCGAAGTCATTGTTCCCGACTTGTTGTCAGAGGTATATGCAACTGCTGAACAAAATAAGTTGGACCTTATATCTCTAGGAAACTCTGTGAAGGAATTAAATGAGAATATAAACACCATTAAGCCACTACTGCTTCTTTGTAACCCAACTCATGATGCTAATCCGGAAAGTCTGCTGAAATCTGAGCGTATGTTAGACTTTATAGCCAGTGAAGTTACTAAACGAATCATGTCCTCGTACAACGTTCTCGCTTACAATCTGCCTGATCGGACGCCTCTGGACAAAATCAAAGTGACATGTCTCCAAGCGTGTGGCATGCCATCAGCGAATTGCCACCTAATCAGACTCAGGAAAAAATCAGGAAAGTATACTTGCCCTGTGCTGTTTAAATTCAGTAGTCCTAATGATGCTAGGAAATTTCAGTCGTCAAATAAGTTAATTAGTTCATCCACACCTTATGGTAATATTAAACTTGCCCATGACCTAACGCCATGTCAAAGACGTAGCCGCGCAAGTGTACCAAGTGTCGCAAAAACTTACGTAACAGCAGAATGTCCTATAGAAGACTCTGTCGCCTTAAACTTGAGTAAACCTAATGGTACAGACATACATGAAATACTCTTAAATAATAAAAATTTACCTAGTAAACTCAACGATGAAGCAACTACGGTCATAGACTTAGATGCATCTTCAGAGTTATGCTCGCTAGCCACATCACCATCAGCCGCTAATACCACTACCAACGTTAAGCAAAAGACTAAGCTCGAGCATGTAGCATTAAGCATATCCTCCCCGAGCAGCACTCAGATTAGTGAGCATACAAAACGAAGTAAAATAACCCTGCCATCCAGAATACCTGTACTCAAACACATCACTGATAGGTTTCTCAGCAGCGAACCAGATAACATTAACTTAAGCGACCCCAATCATACCACTAAACCAGGGAAGCAGAATAAGCCCTCATACCGCCATAAATCTAACGTCAATGAAAAGAGAGGTAACCCGCCGATTCATCCAACATCAAACAAGTCTTCGTCCGATAGACACAACAGACGCTATATGTCTGGGCACCCTAAAAATAAGTCGAAGCCCGACGGGCAGGCATACACCTACCCCGACACAACTTTCCAATCTATGGCTACTATAGACAAAAGTTTGATCCAGGGACCTCTACAACAAGGAACAAGTGCGCTAGGCATGTTTCCTAAAGGTGGCCTTTTGACTCACCACATCCCCGAAAACCATCGCATACAGACCACCCAAGACCGTCAATGGACTAATATTTACGAAAATAACTTAAACACACAAAATATTAGTCATAACTGCGATACACGTAACTCTACCCCAGCATACTATCCACAAGGAATACCTACCTCCCCCCATCCAATCTAAATTTTCTCAGCCAACACGAAATTTCAGCCTCAATATTGACGCAAATAGCACACATACTGTCAAGCCACTTATCACCGGATGGGAGGGCGATGCATTGGAGGCACGGTATTATGAACACCTCACACCCGCCGGGGTAACAAACGATGGCACATCTCTCTGTGCTGATACTGGTGTAGGGCACTTTTCCAGCACTGCTAGTAAGTGGCCACCATCTGAGTTAGCACCCATCAAACAATCTGTTCTAGACGCCATAAACCTTGGAGAGAATATTTTTAAAGATATATGCGATTTCACCGTCACCCCTAACTCTCTCTCATTCTGTCTTATCAATGCTCGCTCCTTACTCAACAAAATGTTCGACTTCACGACATTATCCCTAATTTGCAATCCGTCTCTCATAATGATTACTGAGACATGGTGCACTCCTCAGATTTGCGATAAAGATATTTCTATTGATAACTATTATGTATTCAGAGGCGACAGAAACTATGGTAGAGGAGGAGGATGTGCTATGTATATCAGGTCTGATATTAAGGCCACACAGTGCTTCTACCCAGAGCTCATCACAGATAACGATTCAGTGTGGGCTATTCTAAGACTGTCTCACTCCAGTTCCTATCTTATAGGTTGCATCTATCACCCCCCGTGCTCAACCGTTGAAGGTAATATGAAGCTTGCTAGCACGTTCGCTTACGCCACTTCACTACCTCACACGGCTAAAATTATATGTGGGGACTTTAATATGCCCGATGTAGTCTGGCAACCACTTTCCTCACCAAAACGGTACAATGAATTTATCAACATAATAGAAACAAAAGAATGGCAACAACACGTACAGTATCCTACCAGGCTATCTAAGATTTTAGATCTAGTTTTCACTAATGGTATCATCCCCACTACCCTTCGAGTAGGTAAAGAGTTTCCTGGCAGCGACCACAGAGTAGTATTCGGTACATTTAATATTTGCACTAGCATGAGTTCGACAATAAACGCCAACAAAGTATTACTCAGGGGTTACAGACATGCTCAGTGGGATGAACTGAAACCATACATACGCACCCTAGACTGGGAGCCATACTTTACGTGCAGCTCGGCTATAGAGACAAACAAATTACTCTATGAGAACCTAGGATTTGCACATGACTTCATCGCTCCAGTAAGACTTGTGAAAACGAGGCCTAAACAGCCCGACTTCATCCCCGTAAAGATTCGAAACCGACTGCGTAAGCATGCTAGGCAATTCTACAGATATAATGACTTTTCATCACTCATTACACTCAAGCAAACTTATGATTCATACAAATCTAATCAGTTATCTGAGTCCATCAAACTAGAACGCATCCTCCACTCACGACCTGATAATACAGAGGCATTAGTTAAACTAATTAAGTCACGAATCAACAACAACAGAATAAGTATCCCTAACTTATTACTAGATGGAGAAAAACTACACGAAGACCCGCAGGAGATATGTGAGTTATTCAGCTCCCACTTTTCTAGCTACTATACTATCGAAGAAACAGTAGATAGTCTTGAAGTTCCGACAATACCAAATCACTTTTTGGGTAATATAACATTCACCCAACAAAAGATTTCCTCCGCTATAGCATCCCTCCGGACATCATATAACGCTGGGCCCGATGGAATTCCATCTATCTTGTTGAAAAGAGGTGGTGAGGATATACCCATTATCCTACTAAAGTTTTTCATTCTGTCCTTAAATAATGGCAGTTACCCAGAATGCTGGAAACTGTCGTTTATAACCCCTAGGCACAAACAAGGACCAACTTCTAACATCGAAAACTACCGACCGATTAATATCACGTCAGTAGTTTCCAGGGTTATGGAAAAGGTTATAGGGCAAGATATTGCTTTATACCTCCACCTTCACAAAGTGTTTACTCCAGCACAACACGGCTTCTTGAAAAATCGATCATGCTCCACCTGCCTACTTGACTACTTTGATGATGTTACCGCTAAGCGTGATCATGGTTTGTATGTCACAACTCTCTTCTTTGACTTCAAAAAAGCCTTTGATAAAGTCCCACACAAGAGACTAATCCTTAAGCTAAAGTCGTACGGGTTCCAAGACCCCTTGTTATCCTGGCTCATTTCTTTCTTGGAAGATCGTTCCCAAGTTGTGAAATTTGCAAATAATTACTCGTCACCCAGACCTATAAGAAGTGGAGTGATTCAGGGTAGTGTACTAGGTCCACTGCTTTTCGTAATCTACATTAACGACATCTGCAGCGTAATCAAGCATGGTACCCCATACCTCTTTGCTGACGACTTAAAGATTGTATACAGCTTCCCCCATTCTACACTAAACGAAGGATTCACACATATTCAAGATGATCTGGATAGGTTACATAACTGGAGCAATGACTGGCAACTGCCATTCAATTCTGATAAATGTGGTGTCCTATATTTCAATAACTCCCATCCGAATTTCAGGTTACACCTAGGTAACTCTTTTCTCCAAACCCTCAGTTCCATAAAAGACCTGGGAGTTACCTACTCACAAAACTTAACATTCAGTCAGTACGCAAAAGCACTTGTTTCTAAATGCCGAAGACTCACAGGCTTGTTACATCGAAAAATGTACACAAATGAGGCTAAAGTCCTTTTATACAAAGTCATGGTTCGTCCAGTACTTGAATACTGCACAATTGTCTTCGGTTTCATGCATGGGTATGACAGGGTTCGTATTGAAAATATTCAGCGAAGTTTTACTCGACGCCTATTATACAAACATGAAGGACTGACTTACGCTGATAGGTGCAAAATGTATGGACTTCAGCCACTTTGGTTAAGGCGCCTGAAACTCAACCTTACATTCCTCTTTCGCCTTTTACACGGCTACACCAAAAGCAGTAATCCAATAGCTTTCAATAATTTACCCATATATACTCTTAGGAATCATGAAAATACTCTATCCATAAGCCGGTTCCGGACAAAACTGCGATCACGTTTCTTTAAAATACAGTACAGTGCATTATGGAACGAACTTCCACTTACTGTACGTAGTTGCCGATCTCCTACTGAATTCCAGCGTCTACTTAACGAGTTCCTATCAACAAAAGAGCTTCGGTCTACTTATCCATACTTTATCCATATGGGCCGCTCAACTAGCTTTAGTACTACAGACCCCAGTGCAATACCCCCAATTTGAGGAAACTCATTTGCCCCGGCAACCGTACCTCATCTATAACGTGATAAAACCAACCTAATCTCTCCCACATGCCTTTACCTAAGGTCCGGTTATTCAGCTTACTAGAGATCCTATCGATATTTCTTCAATCGGGTTTATAAACTCATTAGACTCTCCTGGATGTATAATCCCAAATTAGTTGTGATAGTTCTCCCATAATATAAGCAAACTGGTACTTTGTAATGTCTAAAGCATGCCATATGAAAAGTGGCCAGGAATACCTAGCAATAACAAACTCAACCAACCAACCATTTTCCCCAAGTTCATTCAACCTACCCTTATCCCTAATCGTACCACTACTCACTACACTCTACTCAGTAGAATATGACTTAATTTGCTCCGGTGCTCAAAACTCTTCTACCCTTTACTTTTTAAAAAAGACGTTTTAACTACTAACTGCACAGTAGCCATTTAACTAACTCACTGGTTTCCTCTTCACTGTAATCTTCAATAAGTTCGTCAGTATAATTATTTCCGAAAACCATTACATTAGCAACCATATCTTTTAATATTTTACGAATATACTTATATTATTAGCATAATACACTGCACTATTTTTGAGTTGAATTGATTATCTTCAGTCAACAGTTACCCATTCTCATATAATTTTCTAAAATTCATAATGTTAAAGCTATGTAGTATTTCTGTTAATATCTTTTATAATATGTTTAGACACGTTACTTTGCAATGTCAGATGTCTACTATATACAAGACTGTCATGATAATTTAGTACACTAAGTCCTGCCAACCGACCTTACCTTCAGTTCATACTACCTACATTGATCCCTAACTATATTGTTCTGCTGAATCTTGCTTCACTATTCACAAAACCTATTCTTTTTATTCTTTAAGGTTTTAACTTCTTGTAAAGTAATCTGTTCATTAGGACGCATGCATACATATATAATGTTCATAAAGATGTATGTGGAGACCTATTGGAAGCACTCATTAAGAAAGCTAGGGAGATGGAATATGGGGTACGAACATGTCTGGTACCAAGCAGTATATTTGCGGTAGCCATAATAATCATATTCTCAGAGCTTAACATCAAAAAAGGAGGGAGGGTGGCGTTAGCTGATCAGTAGATATGGTGGGGGTCACTAAGGTGAATCGCCCCATTCTGCAGGAACAGCAATATACAAATTAAAGGCTCGAGATATTTCTGATTTTTATGAGGGCTTAGATCTTTATCTTGAAAAAGATAATAATGAACGCCTTGACAGATCATGCTTCTACCTTTAAATATATACCATTCGCTCAGCCTATTGTTGAGATGCGACCATGTGGGATCTGCACAGATTTATGGGGCATCTTATAAATCAACTTGCTGTCCATTGTCGGATCTTTAAATACCACTTCACAATGTCTTATCTCATTCATTTTCTAATAACGTCTTTACTTAATCCTCATTGTATCCCATTAAACCTAACATTTTATAGCTCTTTATGAATTTGATTCGACTTATTCTATTCCTATTCTCTGTGAGGTACGGTTGTGCACCAAATGCACAAAAAAGCATAAAATAAAAAAACAGACATAAGGAAAAAATGTATTAAAACCAAAAGTGGACATCATGATAGTACAGATATACGCGTAGCATTATACATTGCAAATGAACGTTGTCAGCCTAGGGAGTTTTCTATATTAATGCATTTATTAGTGATACTTGCACTTACCCATTTCATTACACTTTATTGATTCACCTTAGCACTTTTACTTTTCTAAAACAGCTTTCAATCCGTTGTAAACGTTGTACTTACCTCAATATTGGTTGGTTATCGTATGCCGACAACCACGGGATGAAAACGAAACGAAGTCGATTTTCCCGCTCAACCTGGAGGACAATTGTACAATTCAATAACTATACAGCCTAGTTCAGACAATGTGTATTTATATATATATCAAATATTTAACTGTTGAAACATTATTAACTTGTAGACAATCTACGATTTGATATTATATCATACTTGATCGTGCCTGTAAAAATGGCATGCATTTTCATGTAAATTTATATGTTTATATGAGAATATATATTATTATTATACATGCTAGTTTTACGGGCGTGGTTAAGCATTATTTAAATTACGTAAATTTGATTTATGGTGAGATTACATGGTTCCAGTCATTCAATGAAACAAATCGAGTAATATAGAAATTTATCTTCGCATTAATAAAAAACCCAAGTATGTGTTGATGGATTAAAAACACTTGGGAAAAAAATAAAGCTTGAAGTCGATTCCTCCATATAACCTCGTTGTGTGCGGCATCGTATCTTGTTCTTGATTTATATTCAAATTAGTAGGTGATGTATTTGTATAATTTCTTCAGCATTTCATCACAAGTAACACCAGAGTGAATTGTACTAAATGCAGACTAATATTGGTTATTTTCAGGCAGATTTGTTTTACTGCGCTGAGGTTAGCTTAAGCTGCCATTTGTCACTGCCTGGTTGTTCCGTACGAGGAACGTAATTAACACGTGGAAAGCTATTTGTAAACTATTTTGGACCATTGATACTGCTTGTAAAAGATACTGTACAGCGTCCTGATATGGTGACAGTGGCTACCCAAGGATGCTGAGTCATTACTAGCCAAAACCTTGGAGGATGATATATGAGCAAGCAACTGCAATTCTCGCTCAGCTTCAGTCTAACTGTAGGTCTGTGCTACTTCCGCTACAAGGCGAACAGAAGAGAAGAGGCGGGCAGCGAAGTACCAGAGAGGAAAGAAAAAGTATATGCACACGAATAGGACCTTAATGTTTGTTTATATGTTTATTTTCGTTGTAAATTGCCATCTGGTAAACACGTACATTTATTTCTACTTGATCTTTTTATGCACCAGTATGACTAGACTGTTTAACGTTTATCGAGTAATTAGGAGATTTATGCGCGATTGATTATCGCTGTGCTGTCTTCAGGGTTTTGTAACAGTGCTAAAATGTGATTTTCACTTCCGGGCCAGGATTGTTTTGGTCACAGTCTTGCGCTACATATTTCTCGGAGCACACAAGGATATGCTTAATGCCTCACCAAATGAAATTCACATTTTAGAAGGGAACCATATATTTGATCCATAGTTGTGCGTGGTTAACTGGGATTCTCTTTAGAACAATTTGAACGACTAAAGGTGCTAGACCATCACTGATAGTACCAATTATATAATTAATGAATCTTTAGTGTATGTATATTTTCTATGAACACGAGTAGTTTTAATTCGCGGAATATCTCAAATCTCTCGAGTAGTCGAATCCCACATGTGTTGGAATTCACCTAATGTTAAGTGCAAATATTGAGTAGTACTATATTAATCTAATAATTCACCCGTACGCGTTGGTGGCACAGTGGTCAGTATTCTCACCGACAATGCACATGGTGCGAGGTTCGATATCCTGCCGACGCACAACGGATAACTATGGTAAGACTGCAAAATTTGGGCTACCGATATCACATGCCTAAAATTCCAGATGGGAGAAAACATACGGAGTGAAATCAAGCTGCAATAAAAATAAAACAAAACAAACAGAAAAATCCAACACACCACAGGCATACCCACAGCACAATCTCACATATCGGTGACGTTCTACGCCTTCAGGTTTAAGGCATCCTCTTGACATCTTCCAACAAAATCGCCACTTGCTAGAATGACTCTCGCAGAACGCAACGTGACCATAGCTGCACCTCATGATACGCTTCACACATACTCTTAACTATTCACTACTGATTACCACTACAATCGCTTGTCACTCATTCTGCCTCAGTTCTAGTAACGGTGACGTATGAAAACCTAGCTTCCCCATATTTTCCCGGAAGCATCATTACACCGGTCATTGTCTCATCGTTCGCTTTCAGAAAGTTCAAAACTCTGTCAGAAGTAGTATCGTGATTTATTGTTGTATTATTTGTTCTTAGACCTAAGTCTGTAGTGCTAACAATGCTGGTTATATGTTGGTGTTAGAATAAAGAATTCTCGATGCGCCAATCTGTGTTCTGGTTTTTGTGTCCGTTAGTACTAAGCGTTTCTGAAAGGCTTCGAGGGACAGCATGAGGCCCAGCGTAGCAAGAGCTGAGCGTTAATGGTTTATGAGACGTGATTGACAATTTCTGACAGATGGGTAGTCTCCATCCGTCTTTCCTGGTGCCGGTCATGTCTTATTCAAACAAGCATTATCTGCAAATTTTCTGGAATCGGGACAAGTTCAGTGTGCCCGGGTTAAAGAACGGACAGACCGTCTTGGAAGCGAACAGTAAAGTAAGTCATGTTGACATATCCGTTACATGTAACGACGTGGTTGATGCTCAGGATGAGGAGTTTGCTGTCCACGTTTCACAGCCTAGAGATAATAGGCCGAAATTTCAACCATGGTGCTTCGACTGAAACCAAGCTGAATATTTACAGTTTATAAAAGAGTTTGAAATCATGTTGAGTAGATTTTATAAAAGGATGAAATGGAGATGTATTTGATGAGGTACTGCAATGGAGTTGATTCAAGAGCTAAAAAGTGCTGTAAGTTCATGCCATCTAAGTAGTGCTGAATTGCCTGTAATATGTAATGATGTGTGTGATGCTAAGCATGATTAGATTGGTGTCCATGTTTCGCCGTCTAGAATAATAGAAATTTTAAAATTCCTAAATATGAACCTTGGTGTTTCGACGGAAACCCAGCTGGCTATCTACAGTTTGTAAGAGAGATTGAAGTCATGTCGAGTGGGCTTGCAATACATGATGATTCATGGATAATTCCCATCCAGGCATTAATGAAAACGAAACACGTAGGTCAGCGAATAGTGTCTTTTCGGCGAACTCATTTTCTTAGCTGTGCAATCGCAAATATACGTGTTATTTTGTATGTGTGTGTACATTAAGTACATTAAGTTTGTCAAACAAATTTACAATTGGTTATGGTTATTTTAACTAAACAGTTGAAGGTTGGTAATACAAGTCAAGCAAATTAAGTGTGAAAGAAACTAGGGTAGTAAGAATGGTGATGAGTTGTCACGAACAATTTTTAAAGGATTTGTCTAATAATATGAATAGTTTGATGAGTGAGTTTTACTTAGATCTCTTACATAATTTCATAGTATCTACTTTGTTTCTCTGTGCATCCTGAGTAAACCTCACTCATCAAACTATTCATATTATTAGACAAATTCTTTAAAAATTGTTTGTGACAACTCATCACCATTCTTACTACCCTAGTTTCTTTCACACTTAATTTGCTTGACTTGTATTACCAACATTCAACTGTTTAGTTAAAATAACCATAACCAATTGTAAATTTGTTTGACAAACTTAATGTACTTAATGTACACACACATACAAAATAACACGTATATTTGCGATTGCACAGCTAAGAAAATGAGTTCGCCGAAAAGACACTATTCGCTGACCTACGTGTTTCGTTTTCATTAATGCCTGGATGGGAATTATCCATGAATCATCATGTATTGCAAGCCCACTCGACATGACTTCAATCTCTCTTACAAACTGTAGATAGCCAGCTGGGTTTCCGTCGAAACACCAAGGTTCATATTTAGGAATTTTAAAATTTCTATTATTCCTAGACGGCGAAACATGGACACCAATCTAATCATGCTTAGCATCACACACATCATTACATATTACAGGCAATTCAGCATTACTTACTTTCCTGTTCGCTTCGAAATCGCTCTGTTTTTTCATTGACCCAGGCATTACTGAACTTGACCAAGCCATCCAGAATAGTTCCAAATATCATTTGTCCAAAGAAGACTGGGAGAGGCGAGGAAAGACGAACGTAAACTATCAATGTCCAGGTCTTACTACACTGGACCTGGAACTTTAGTTGGAAGACTTTCAGAAACTGTGCGTTGCAACTAATATGAAAAACGAGAACTCAAATTGGAGACTCCAGAACCGTTTATTCTTGCACCAATACAGAGCCAACCATTGGGTTATTGTATACAAAGTTTCTGATAGTTTTCTCTCTTTCAACGAACGATGAGACGATGACTGCTGTATTGATGACTTCCGCGAAAAATATGGAGTTGGGTTTGAGCAAACAACCATGAATTGATCGTTAAATCTTCATCCCCTACTTACTTCACGACAAAGTAATCTACAATGAACCTGCCACTATCTGTGAACTCTTCAGTGATTGGTTTGCAAACTTTAGTTTAGAAACACATATGCCTGGTGAAACCACCCCCGTTACTAGCTCTTCCCTTGAAAGCATTGTGTTCACCAATCAACTAATAATAAAAGCAATTAAAAGCCTTAAACCTTCCACTGGTACGGGACCGGATGGCCTCGCTTCGATAATTTTCAAAAACAGTGGGTGTGATATACCCCTGTTACTTCTAAAATTCTTCTAAATATCTATGGACACTGGCACTTACCCTAGTGAGTGGAAAACTAGCTTCATAATTCCACATTACAAATCTGGTGATAAGGCAAACGTCCGCAATCACAGACCCATAAATATAATCCCAGTTATCTCATGAATCATGGAGAAAGTTGTAAAAGATCAAT